CATGAAAAATATTTGAAACTTTTAAAGTACATACATCTCGATCAGTAGAACAAAGTTGTCTTAGACTTGAAAGTCCCAAATACATCTTTTTACGAAATATCTGTATCGCAAAGGTTGATAATTGCTTCTAATTCTCGCCCGTCATATGTTCGATAGAGTTGGAATTTTTTTTTTACACATATTAAGCAATAGTACAATATTTTCAAAACAAAAAGTTACCTACTCCAAACAGTGGTTATGTGAAAATAGATTGTGAGAAAAATGAAAAAAAAACATGTAAAAACTCCATGACTGATGCTTTTCAATACTTTGGAATGAGAAATAATCATTATCATTAGAAGAATGTTGTATAAAAGAAATAATTTCATCACGAGTTTTTCTACTAGGAATTTCGAGAGTTGATTTTTAATAAAAGCACTAACTGACAAGGAAGAGCTCTCATTTACACGATCTTTGACAAAGGATACTTCGAAGCTATACCGGAAATTGGAAAATTTTTGATATAAATATCCAGAAAGGGTGTGCAAGTCCCATTAAATTACAATAAAATTTTCGTACTCCATTTCTATTGTTTACCATCATGTTGTCTATAATATTTCGAAAGTAGCTGTTTCATTAAAAAAAAAAATCATTATTCTTATATTGCTTTGATATAAATTGAATTCCTTGAAACATTCTTAATAAGAAGGTTACATATTTCTAGGGTTTATGCACATTTGATAGAAAGCAGAGAATATAATGTAATTATTAGTATTTTAAACAGCAAACTTCATGTAATCTATGATTGTTGTTAATTTCTTGATAAGAAATAATAAATATTCATAGAATGATGTATTGCTTTTTTTCTCTTTGACTTAAGCTTTATTGTCTATACAGGGAATGCCTTTTAAGATAAAATATTAATGGGTTGTATCGAGGTATTAAGCTGTCATTGTCTAAATTGTGTCTGTTTTTTATAATCTTTGACAACTATGTATCCTTTGAGAATTTCTATAGACAATAATTAAACATTCTCGACGCAATATAAATAAAGTAAGATGAATATTAGCTCTAAAAAAAAAAAACCATGATTTCCAAATAATTTGAATGATTTTTTTTTTGAATTTTTATATTTTGCTTTAATAGTTTTAATTTTTCTACTGAATTGCTATTTGAAATGTATTTCTCAAATATTGACACGTGCACTATTTTATCTATTCTCATTATATTCATTTGGAAATGATTCTATGCCTTTATAATTGAAATAAACAATCGTTCTTAGAAACCATTGAATATTAGATTTTGTGCATATTCATAAGAAAAAACAAAACATTATTTCAAATACATTTTTTTCTAATATACAGAATCAATCATTCTTTTTTCCGTTGTATTTTAATTATCAATAATAATTCATTGTTTTAATCAGAATCTAACAGAAATCGTCCAAAACATGAGAGCAATATATTTTTTTGTATGATACCAAGTATTGAACTCAATTTCAGAGATGAAAGAATAAAGAAAGTTTCTAGACAATTAAACACAGTAATTTTTAGGTCTCCAATGAGGAGGATTCATCACATTTTCTACGACCTTTTCTTAAAACTTATGAGCATTGTAAAAAATTTGTGTGTGTTCATAGCAATGCTATAATAAATGTCGCTTTTTTTTCTCACTTTTTGTGATGCTTGTAACTTTTTCAGGGAAGTCATAGAAAATGCGACAACTCGTGGTTTTATTCAGGATATTTTTCTTTTTAAGTTGGTTCTGTAAAGAACTAAATTTCACAGTTTTCTAACACGTGAAAACTACCATGTTTGGTTTATGAGTAACCATCATGTCATATTTCACCTATGAAATGTCAGTATGGAATACATTTGATAGAGAACTTCATTGACTATTGAAACCATAATTTTATTTCAATACTTGGTATCGAATAATACATTAGTTTTATATTTTTGGACGAGTACTACATTATCATCAATCATCTCTTTAACTTACTTAAATACATTTGAACGTGTGATTATAAAACTTCTTATAATAATACACAATATGTAAAACATTCAATCGTAGTATTTAGAAATCTTTATTATCATCTTATGTTTCAATTTAGTTAATTCTTATTGACTCTCTGAAATTGAAAGAAAATAATTATATGTCATAATTTATGAAGTTGGAAGATGTAAAGACTTAGATTAAGGTGTTTTCAATTATAAAATCGAATAGTTATTTTTACTATCATAATGAAATCATTTATTAATATTTCTCGTTAGTGATGATTTAAAAAAAAGAAATTCTTTACACTCTTGCGCTTCGATTTTAATTGCATTCACGCTAAAAAAAAAAAGAAAGCAACAATCTAATGTAGCACGAGATGAAAATCAGTCATTTGATGTATATTCAAAGAGCTTTTTTTTTTCTTTCTACTAATGAAATATTTTATTTTAGTTTGAAAATGATGAAAATGAAAGACGTCGTATTCATGAAGAACGTTTAAAAGAAAAACATCGTCGTTTAATACAAAATCTTCATAATAAACATCAAACAACAAAAAATGACTTATTACTTGTTCAAGTAACACAGAGAAAAACAAAGAAACTTTTTTTAATAAAAAAAAATTCCCTTACTCTCCTTTTTTTTCAGAGACAAAAGTTAGAACAATGTGTCGAATTTGAAACACGTAAATTACAAGAACTTCAATCGACTTTTGAAAGTGATTGGATTGAATTTCGTAATACACAAAAAACAAGAAAATTGGTAAGAAAATTTAAAAAAAACTTTTTTTTTTCTTTATTAAATCAACATTTATTAACAAAAAAATCAAATCAATCCATATATATACACATAACATATTATTAAACAAATAATTTTCTCTCATCCAGATCGATCAGTTTCATATACATTCATGTCCTGGATCACCAATAAAAATTACGAGTCAGAATAATGAAATATATCCACAATCGACTGAGAATAATGGGCATTTTCAGACATTTGTCTTCAATGCCGATGAGATTTCTCTGGAAGCTTTACTTGATCCAAATTTTCGTCCAACAACAACATCAGAACAGCAACAATTACGGCAACAATCTCAACAAATCTATTATAAAAATCATCATCCTCCACAACGATCATCATCAACTATAACACAATGCGCTCATTATCAACGGGCTTCATTTGATCCATTAACAGATTTACCAACAACACAACCATTTTCTACAATACCTACTCGTCGTCGTCAACCTGTTTTAAACAATTCATCTATTATACATCTTTGAGAAACGGGTAGATAGATAGATAGTTAATTAGCTAGCTATTAATTTTTTCGATAAAAAAAAAAAAACATAAGCTCATTATTGTCTAATCATTGGTGATTGGTCTATAAATCAAATAATTAATTGATTCGCTCATATATTATAATTAACACTTTTTTTTATTTTTAATCGCTAGGTTATTTGGATTTTTATATAATAATATATACATATAACTTTGTATTTCTCTAGCAAACACCTATATCTCTTCCATTTTCGAGTGCGACATTACTTCGAACTCAATTTTCACCATTTACGACACATGTCGTAAAATCCCCAATATCATCACGTGCACCTGTTATACTTCGTTCAACTGGTAGTCATCGTTTACAATCATGGCATTCATGGCCAGGTGTTGAATTAAATGATGATGAGCAATTTTGGAAATTAAGCAATGATAGCGAAAATATTCTCTTTTAAATATTATAAATACAATTAAAAGACAGAGCGAGAGATCGATAGGTAGTTCGAGTGCTGTGTTCCCATCACATCTTTTTCTATTTTCAAAACATCATATTCTTCATATTCACTAAAATGCTCATACACATTGGGGTTCTCTCTTTTATTTCTATTGGTACTCGTAATTACTAATCAGCCACTGCTGCTCGATCAATTTTAAATATCTTGATATTTGTTTTTCATTTGTCGTTTTTGCACATATATCTACATAATATTTATTCAATCGTTTACCTTCTACATTGTTTTCTCTTTCATTCTTCATACATCTCTTATGTCTAACACTAATTATTGACAAATAATGGTTCTTTTTTTTTTGTTCAATGTTTTTGTAGGAACTCGACGAAAAATTTGCACGTGAAACATTAAAACAGCGAGACTTTTATTTTGATACTCCACCAACATCAAATTTTGGAACATTGAATTGAATTGAATATAAATAAAAAAAGACAATCGAGGAAATATTCCTGCAATTTATTTATGAAGTACTTTTAGCTTATTGAATTTACTCATATGTTTGTTTTTTTCTTGGTTTCATTTCTTCTTTTTTTTTTTTTATATTTCGTCTACAACTTGTCCATGAATTCCTTTTTTTTTTTCTTATCCACTGAGCCAAAGACTCTTTCGCTTTGTGTATATGCTTATCCGTCCTTGTTTGTAATCAAAAGAAAAGGAATAAAATACAAAATGTGTCTTGTTCAAAAAAAAACTTTTTCTGTTCTTTTTTTTTTTTGTATCTATTTGCCTTTTGAAAATTCATTAATAGGCTATTGTGAATTTCTTGCATGAATCTATATCGACTGAAAGAATATATCAGTTTTTTTCTCTTTTTTGTTTGTTCGATTCATTTTGTCAGATAAGTCTGCATTCATTTCATATTTTTTTTTTTCATTGTTATTTCAACATATTTATGTCTCTCTATCATTATTGACTACCATTCTTTGTCTTTTTGTTTGTTATTATTATTCTTCCATATTGCTCATTCCATTGACGAAAGTAGAACGACTTCATATATATATATATATAAATATACTACTCTCTGGGCATTATTTTTTCTTTTGTGACGACAGTGATATGTTTAACGCCACCGCCGCCACGCACTTTTTTTGACCACCGCTTTGCTTGCGCTTCAGTGGCATTCGTTCATTTTTTTTTTGTGCGCTTAAAAGCTAAAGAAAATTTCAAAAAAAATAAAATTCTAGATTAACGAAAACAAAATATGATATATTTAAATTTTCTTTCTTGTTATAATTTAGATAGATGTTTACAATTAACGCAACACTTGGCTTAAGTTGGGCAATTTTATCTTTTGGATTTTTTCTCTTTATTCGTTATGTAATACATCCATTAACTTATGTTCGACTATCAAATAATAAACAAAATAATTCTACAATACCATCACCATATATACGAACATGGTTAACATATTTAGATGAAGAACGATGGCAACGATTAAATTTATTAATTAGTTGGTTACATGCTTTCATAACCGGTGTACTTGTTCTATATAGTTTTTATGCATTTCCTGAATTACGTCATGATTTTGTTAGACATATTAATTTTGTTACATATTTAACATGTTCATTATCATTTGGTATGTTAAAATAAATTAACTAGTTAATATAAATTTTTCGATATAATTTTATTTATTTTAGGTTATTTTTGTTATGATTTATGTGATATTATATCAAATAGAAGAGGATCAGATTTATTTGAAATAATATTACATCATATTGTCGTAAGTTTCTTTTCTTATATATGAATTCATATGATTTGATTTTAATCAAAACGATTTTGACATCTAATGCAAAACAAACAACTCAATAACTGCTACTTAATAAAAAAACAAACGTTAACCTTGAGAATGCCCTTCACATTGAAATCAAGGAGACTCCAAGAAAACAAAACAACAAAATAGAAAACCGATGTTTAATTTGAGTCAATGATTTAACATAATTCGAATTTTTATCGAATATTTACATCATGTCTATACTACACTGAAATGAGACAAATAGAAGCAATTATTTCTACATTTAACTATTTGCTCCATTATAAGTACAAATTATCCAACGAAACAAAAGCAAAAACAAAAATGATCATATTTAGTTACTTTGTTCTCTAATTGCATATCATTAATCAAAAGCAACTATGAATCAATATTGAGACTCTACAGCAAGATAATTGGACTATTTCTTCCTAATAACGATGACAGAATAAAAAAAACTTATTATAATTTGTAATAGGCAAGGAGAATACAAATAAGAATAACTGGATAATCATCCTTGTTTTTTGATTGTTTATCGTTCTTGAAAACAGTACAAACTATCAAACTGAAATTTTTATCACAGATAAAGCATCAAAAACAAAGAAATATCTGTTCGAAGATAAAAAATTTGAAGTGAATTTTAGCGACTTTTTTTTCTCGGAAATCTTGTGTTTTTATATGGCCGCATGCTTGTATAGTACGACTAGAAATATGCAGGACTGAAATCATAAGAGAAAAATTTTCTATGAATACATCTGAAGTTTATAGTAAAATGTTGTTTGGTTTTAAGCAAATTCTCTCTAATAATTCTTATGAATTAAAACATGATTATTGAGAAACGACCTAAAAAACTGTGCTAGTTCTCAACTAAATAAATCAACAAAAAAAAACAAGTATTGAAGAATTATTTTAAATAGGAAAAGAATAAGCTCTGGAATAGTTTTCTCTAGATCAAGACTAAAAAACTTAGTCTCATACATCTCGATTTACGACTCGCATCAAACCTTATTCGAATGAGTTACAAATTTTTTTGATGACATCTAAGACTATATGTCAGAAGTAATTGTAAGCTTTTTCAAAAATTTCACTTTTTTATGAGAGAAATACGTAAATATTTGATACAACGACCGATTTCTTTGCTTTTAAGATTGTATAAATCCAATTAGAAAGTCAGAAAAGAAAATAGCCAATTTTACTTCAGAAGAATACTTCCAAATATCATCGATAAACATTTCAACCTAATTGAATAAAGTTAGATGTGAATTGTAAGTGATTCAGATGCAGTCCTGTGATAAACTAGGATTTTCCAGAAAAATACCATTTCAAAATTTATTCCTCTAACATCTGTTTCCTGATTTTTGATGCTTTATCTATGATAAACATTTCTTCTTGATAGGTCGTACCAGCTTTTAGAATAAAAAACGATGAAAAAAAAAATACTAGAAGGCATATCTTAAGGCATTTACTATGTAATCTTTCTTCTTACAGAATATGATTTCGTAGGATTAGTATTTCTGCATCAAGAAATTAACAAAAGTCATATTATATTTTCGATTATAATCCTTCAAAGATTCTACTAGTATACAAAATTTTACTATAAAAATCTAATATTTCAATTGAATAATTCCTTTTGCAATGCATCTTTGTGTATATTTGAATTTATTAATATTTTTGTTTAAATCTCTTTTTTTTTTTTTGTTTTTAGACATTAATATTTTTTGGTTTAAACATATTTCGTGTATTAAATGTGGGTTATCAAATGTTTGCATTGTTAGCTGAAGTAAATTCAATATTTTTACATGCTCGAAAACTTTTTCAACTTTTTAATATTCCACGTGAGAATTTTTTTGTTCGATTAAATATGATTTTAAATATTCTAACATTCTTTCTATGCCGTCTATGTATGTTATTTTTTGTTACAATTTTTGTTTATAATGATCGATATCGTGTAGGAGATTTTTATTATTTATTTGTAATAATTATTCTTATCCCAATTATGTGTATAATAAATCCAATACTTTTTTATCGTGTGTTGTATACTGATTTTCTAAAACGATATAAGTCACGCAAATTAATGTCATAAAAAAAAGAAATGAGTCAAATTTCTGAGAATCTCTTTTCTATATAGTTGTTGTTATTCTCAATGTTATTTGTATGTATATTTTTAAGTACTCCATTTGTTCATGAAACTCTAATAGTATTGATTGTATGATTTTTTCTTTTTTTTTTTTTTTTGTCTTTTTGACTTTTTTTTCGCTGAATATCAACTATAGAAATAAATATATGTGTCCTCTATAATCATCATATAGCGCCTTGTAGGAAAGAAAAGAAAATTATTTGAATGCAATCAAGAAATATTAATACTCAATGTCAATATTCGTGAATTAAATATAACTAATCAGCCTTATGACAGGCATAATATCTGATCATAATCATTACGTATTTTTACAACAAAACATTTAGTAACAAGTAAGCGACGTGTAAACACGTCATTTCATTGTCTATGTTCATAATAGAAATATATATGCAGTTATATAAAGTGACGTGAGAAGGATTTCAGGAGACGATTGAAGAAGGTGAATGTAATACTAGTGTCTTTTAAATTATACGTTCATCTTTTGATAGCTAATAGTTTTTTTCTGTTTTTTGGATAAAATATTGATGGACATGATTAGAATAGAGATACATATCATTTTGTTTACTACTGATATATCGAAAAGAAAAATGACTATAGATTACGGTGATATATAAAATATTCGACGTTAAATATTTTATTTGATAAATAGTAGTTCGTATATAGTAGTTTGACATTGTTTTAGATAAAATGAAAAGTCTCTCTATATGGATAAGATTCAAAATATTTTTAAAAAAGAAGAGTGTACAGATATGTTTTTCTTTCTTTTTTATTGAATTTTTCTATCTAATCAAGTTAAAGAAAATTTCATATCTCTTGAAACTAATTAAATAATTAATATTCAATCTACTACGACCTTTGTATTTTTTTTCCCTTGTTTCGTATTATTTTCTTTTGCATATGAAAATATCATCACTCATAGGATCAATGTAAAATCATTTTGTACAGGTAAATAAGCGAATCAGAAACACAGACATATATCACAGTTATGGTGTGCACATTTGGAGTAATTCAAGGTGTTTTTCCTTTTGTACATACATATGTACTGCATATATTATTAATGTGCTCTATTCTCTTGTGTTTGGTTTTAATACTCTCGTCCATCATTATATAAACAAGGACACGCGTGAGAGGCAACTATCTATTTTATTGCTTTCGTAAGAAAAGAATGCATCAAACATCAACAGTAGCTCACGGCTTTAATCGCCAATCTTTTCATCGACAACCAATATCGAATTTGAGACAAGTGCCTGAAATTGTATCGAATCAAAACAGAGAAACTCGACAAATGGATAATTGTACCCCAACTTCATTCTCGGATCAGCAATCTACTTTCGAACATGTTAACCTAGGAGAACAAATTAATTCAACATTACATGATAATGTCCAACCACGAATTGAACTAAACCACAACTCAAACGAGTTTCAACAACATTTGAATGAAATTATCGCTAATAATGATGAAAGTGGTTTTGCCAGGGACTTATTAGAAACGAGTAAAACTAATCACACTTCAAAACGACGTATGTACTTATTTTACATTGATTGTTTTTATACATATCATTTTCTGTTTTTAAAGGATCTAGAACTGCAAGTAAGGCATCGAGCAGAAATCAAAACCGATTTGTAGCTGGACAATCTACTACAGAAATCAATCCTAATACTGATAATATTCCATCCCATGGTTCAGCATCTTTAGTCAATTCACAGTCAACTAATGGTTTACATGATTCTATTCGACGAGAACGAAAAGCTCATACAGTAGCTCCGTTAACTAGAATATCAGGACCCATTTCTTCTGTAAAATCAAATATGTTTGCTACAATTGCTGCTCCAATTGATTCTCAAACAATGAAACAATCTTCTTTAACACAGACAATACCCAACGAAACAATGAATTATTATCCTCAACCAGGTATGGAAATGAACAATTTTATGAACGGCGGTTATGCACAAGAGGAAGATGATAATGCTCCAATCATTGTGAAAGTTCGTTATGACCCAGAAGCTGGTGGGCTACCATCTGAAGAAGCTATTCGTCAAATGGTTAACAATAGATTACGAGACCAGTCCAATAACAACTTCATGAATGATCCAATTGTTCTCAATTTTACTAATAATACTATTAGTTCTACAATTCCGCAAGGACCAACTGGATCAGAACCACTATATTTTAATCAATCTGCTCTAACTGTTTCATCACCGGTCAATCATCCAAATATTCACATGCCTGTTCCTCCACAACAACAATTACAACAACAAAACTTTCAATTATCACAACGACAGTATCCACAAAAATTCACGCAACAGCAGCAACGATTGCAGCTACAACAAAACCGACAACAACAATTGCAGTTGCAACAAAGACAACAACAACAACAACAACAACAACAATTGCAGTTGCAACAAAGACAACAACAACAACAATTGCAGTTACAACAAAAACAACAACAACAACAACAACAACAACAACGGCAGTTACAATTACACCAATATCAACTGAAACAAAAAGAACTACTAAACCGACAACAATTACAAATGCGACAAAGAGAACAATTACAACTACGACTACAATTACAAAGGAGACAACAACAATTAGAACAGCAACGAAAGCAACAACTACAACGACAAGAGTTTTTACTAAAAGAGCAAATGCAAAAACAACAGCTGCAACAATTCCTACAACAACAGAATCAACGAAAACAACAATTTTTACAATCGGAGAGACAACAAATACAACAACAGCGGTATCGACAACTATTACAGCAACGGCAAAAACAACAAACATTATATCAACGACAACAACAAACCTTTCCACAAAAACAACGAAATCCATCTCTTCCACCGATGGGTCCACGACCATCACGAGCTATTGTTCCTATTCGACCTATGTTTATTAATCAGTCATCTGATCTATTTCCACAAAATAGTAACATTCGTCCAATACAACCTATTCCAATTCTTCCGAGGCCTGTAAAAACTTCAAACAATGTCTCGACCATTAATATACAACGATTACCGTATCGAAGTCTCAGCTTAACACAACCGAACACTCCTATACCAACAGGTTTTCATTTTTTTCTAGATTTTTGTTTCTTTATTCTTAACCATACTCTATCAATCAATCAATTAATAAAATCATTCATTACACATTTTATTATTTGATTTTAGACAATGGTGCATTCAGCAGTTATCATCAGAAACATTCACCAAGTCTGTTTATACCAATTAATTTTGGAATGCCTACTGAGCACCAACCAATACCAATAAGCAATACTAGTAGTCCTTTTGTTTCATCATATCCATTACCAAGACCTAGTACTGCACCTGGTGCTTGTGAAATGTATCGACCATCATCGGCACTCGACATACCTGAATTAAGTCAAGAAAATCTTTGTGATATGCTCAAGTAAGTATGATTTAGAAAAACCGAAAAACTAGAATATTCGTTGAATCTGTCATATTATTACAGCCAAATTCCGGCTTTACATGGTCGTCGATTTCATATCGAGTATGCCGAATCTACTCAACCTGATGGTTATCCAATTCCATCACCGTTCGATTTGAATAATGATAAATATCCTGTACCGGTTGTTGTTGATGAATTACCAAGCAATATTATTCAACATGTAAGAAGTAGTAATAATCTTGAACTTCAAGCTGCATTAGATCCAGCTGGTCAAATAGAAAGAACTTTTCAACATATTGGTCAATCTCAAACAGGCGCACCAATGTTAAATGGATACTCACCAACGCTTTTCTATCATAACGTACTACCTCAACAAAAAGCACCGCGACATCGATCACTATCATCATACAGTTCAGATAGAATTATTGACACATATTCATATGAAAGACAAATTACGGAACTGAATAGATACAAATAGTTTCATTATCAAAGTAACTAAGATTTATGTTTTAAAGGTTTTAATAAATTTTATTATTCATATTTAGATATTAAATTAAACTTATTTGTTGAACTTATTTCGTTAACATCAAAGATTCAATAACAATTTGGTTACTTTTATTTTTTTAGTACAATATTATGAGTCTTCAAAATTGAACTCGATAACTTCTTGTTTTCTGTTTTAATTTTTCTTAATATTGAAAACACTCTTATAAGTTAAAAAAGAATTTTTTTAATAATAATTATAGATCAAAACAGAACATTGGATTTTAAGTTGATTATCATCTTTTTCGATTCAATACAAAACCAATCTAACTTTCAATTTACAAGTCTTTGACACAAATATCGAGAAAAAAGTTAAAATAGTAATTCATAAAAATGAATTGCTAACACATAAAACATGGTGCAAATACAATTTCTACAATAATATAAGCAAAACCAAAGTGAAAATAAATCATCGAATACAATCTTTACAATTTTATTGATGCCCATATTTAGAGAAAACTGTATAAGAAACTGTCATGTATATATAGAGGCATTGAAAATATGGACTACATCAAGTGATAAGAATGGTTTCGATCGTTGTGTCATATGAATACATTATAACGAAAAAATTAGAATTATTACAATCATCATATCTTTCTCTGACTTTGTTTTTTTGCGAAACAAGAAAAACAAAGTCCCTTGACTGAAAGGACAAGGTCTCGAAACGAAAATTCACCTGTATCTATCTGTCCGTAACAAAATTATCGTATGATAACTATAGTACGCGTGATTATAGAGGATGACATAAAACATTACCTATGCATTAGGATTCAAATTAGACGAGGAGTATTATCTTAAGACGAATAATATGACATCTCTTTACACTCAATATTTCATCGTATTTTGGTTTATTACATAATTCAATATTGCGGTCGTATATCTCTATACCGCATGCGGAGAAATACGAGTGTCACACCAAATCATATAATACGTCAACGTACGCTAGTTTGTGGTTGTTTACGAGCATGTCAGTTTGACCTGAGAAGGTTTTTAAAAATGAAAATCACCAATATTAAGCTATTGAATGATTCAATCGATCGTTTAGTAGTATATGCATGACGATACGATATAATGATTATTAAGAGCTAAAGAGTGTGTCTGTATATAAAATTATGATAAACTAAAATCGCATTATTTGACGTTTTCTTCTTGCAATAGAAATAATACTAATATAACTAATTCCAAAATAATTCTATTGATATCGATATTATCTATGTAAATCAATATGTGTAACATAAATTTTATTCCAAACATATAGAAGATAAAGAATAATATGAATGATGAAAAACCGGATCATTCTCGAAATCGGTTTTTTTTTGTGATAAACATAAAAATCAAGTTTTATGAAAAATATTACTTTTGTGGAATGAGTCGCTATTATTTGTCATATTACTTCTTGCATTTATTTAGTCTACTTTACTTAATTCGCATTTATATCTAGAAGTACCTATATGTGCATCTCTATCTCCTTCAGTTTAGTATCAATTAAAACGGGTTTTGATGAATATTTTTTTATTATATTGAACAAATATTTTATAAATAATTGCTAAAAATTAATGCCTGACACTGGTCTTGTTTTTCAAAAATCTGTTTTGTGTATTGTAAAAAATTCTAACAAAACAATACAATATGTTTATTTACTTCTAATGAGACGTTTATTTGCTCAATTGCAACACGTACTTTTTCGTTGGATATTGCTTAGATCTTGTTCAAATATTGAATAAGAAATTCTGGCATAAATATAGATAAAAGTAATGATTTATTCAAAATATTTGTTGATAATTAGACACATAAAACTATAAATATGAGTTCATTTTATTTCGTACGTTTATTTATAAGAATGAGAATCTCATTGAAAAATAATTATGATCAATGACTTTTTGTATTGATATACAATCGTATGAGGTAATAGATGTCATCAACATCTTTTTCTTTTTCTAATTACGCTGCTTAGAATTTAAAAATAGACGATTCTTAAGTTTTGAGAAAGCATTTTTTTCTCTCTTGTGAAAAAAAAACTTTTGCGTAGAAAACACGACGGTAAAGAACAACTGACATTTTCACCAGGAAACGATTATTTGCTTGAAAAAAAGTAAAAATTAAATTTCATCGTTAATAATAAAAATTCTCATTTGTAATATTTTCTTTTTTTTTCTTGTTCTTCTGTAGAACCATTATCGAACAAACGCGACAAGAGTTCTTTTTTTCCTTTCTATTTGTGCTCAACGATCCTATTTCAATCATTTATTTTTCTTCCCATAAACTAGATATACTAAAGAAAAGCACAAGAAAATCAAGATATATTGTTCATTTCGACAAAAATTTAGTTGAAGTTTACACCAATCAATATGGGTAATAATAATAGTACGATAAATATAACATTTGATCGACCACAGCCAACTATTTATTATGGTGGAGATATTATATCGGGTCAAGTTAAATTTACAGTTACAGAACGTACAGATAAAATTCATGATATTTATTTAACAATTACTGGTGATGTTGGTTATACAACAACGCGTACAACTCGCATGCAAAATGGACAAACAGAACGAATAGTTGATCATCATGATATAAGAATTCTTGGAGAAAAATTAGTAATACGTCAAGCAATATCTACTCAACAAGAACAAGTTGATGGAAGAATAAATGAGCAAACAACTTTTGAACCAGGTCAATATATGCATCCATTTTCTATTCGTTTACCTGATACTTTGCCTCCAACATTACATCCAATTGATTATCCATTTGTTCGTTATGAATTACAGGTAAAAATTACTGGAAAAAAAATATCTATAAAATAAAAAGCTTTCTTTTTTTATTTTCTTTTTTCTTTATTTAAAATGAAAAGCTTCTTATTGAAAAAAAATGGTATTGTTCAAATATTCATTATCGTTATCCACTTCGTATTTATCCCCGAGTAAATCTTCTTCAAATGAGTAATTCTCAATGTGCAGTCAAATTTGATACAAAACGTAAAGATATTACAATTAAAGGTGTTATACAACGTTCTGGTCTTGTACCTGGTGAACAAACAATTTTGTCACTTGAAATTTATAATCCAAGTCATTTAACAATTAAACGTATTGATATGTGTCTTATTCAACGTTATGAAATTGAACAATGTCGACGTCGTTTAGAACTTCTTCGTTTTTCTGTTCCTCAATTATTTAATATAAATGATAAACATATTACAACTTCATGTCCGATTAAAATTCCAATGTATATTGCACCATCATATAATTTCAAGAAAACAGATAGTCGTTCAAATATACTTGTTACGATACATTATGATATAAAATTAGAAGTTAAAATTAAAGGTCTTTTTTCAGATTTTGAATTACAAGTTCCAATAATAATTGGTACTGATCCAGCAGAACATTCAAGTTATGTTGATATGACAAATACATCAACAATATCAATGGATTTAAATACAATGGATACGATGGAATCAAAAGATCATGATGATAACAATGTTTTATTGTTAGATGAATCAATGGTGCAACTTCTAACTGATACAAAATAAAACATCATTTGATTAAACTTAATTATAAAAATAATAAAACATTATATTAATAAGCCTTTTCTCTTTATGCTTTTTGTAATTTTTGATCGGATTGTGATATATATATAATCAGTTTCTCTAATGTTTTATGGACATCGTTTATTCGTATTTAACTTTGCATAACTACTGAATACATTATTGTTTTGTTCTTCTTTTATTTGTTTACAATATACTTATGATATACATAAAAATAGTGGTGAAAGCACTTCAATATCGTATAAAAAGGTTGATGAAACTTTTTCTCGATATGTTTTTATACTAAAAATAGTGTACTATATTTTTCTAACACTTTATCATTCTTCAATTGATATCATAATAAGAAAGTTTTGAGTGAAATGCTTATATAACTCATAAATAATGAAATCTGAACATCTAAGTCTTGCATAAAGTTTCCAGATCTTCAATTAACAGTTGGGATATATACTTGGTAATTGAAAACTCACTGTAAACACTTCAGAAAATAGATTTATCTTCAAACAAGTTGGTTCAAAGCTTTGAAAAAAAACACCTATAAAACATGCTTCAATGCATCTTCATCTTTTCTTTGTAAGTGTGCAAGTCATGACTGTCTATAATATTCGATCAAAAATTTTTCAAAATGTATTAGCCTACCTTTTTCTTTTTGACACGATTTCTAACATTATCGTTACATATCATGACAAATAGTTCATATCGAAATTTTATTATTTTTATATTATTTACAGAATAATGAAATGTTGAGAAAATGTAGAGCAGTATTTATACCATTAGTGCATGTAGAGAAGAAGTTTCCAAAATCTTTCTATACAGTATACAAGTGCCTCTGTTATTATCTTTCACGTAATCGGTTCATAATTTTGATCTCAATCTTTTAAAACTTCTAACACAAAACCCTGGAAACTATGCATAATTTGATTGATTCAGAAGAATCTTCTATTTCATTCCCGACAGTATTCTTCAAAGAGGTATCTTCTATTGTGAGAAAGGGTTTAACAAATAAATTTTGATCACACAAAAATTCTTTAATATTCATAGAAAACGGTTTACATAATAAAAAACAAATTGAAATACAACTAAATGTTATTCTTCTCAATATTTACAGGCGATAGTTACTAATACATATTCTTATGTAGGAAACGACGTTCTGTAATGTTTTCTCTATTTGTATAAATTTCTCTACAAGAATATCTTAACCACTGAATAGTACAACGAAAACTTTATTTTTAAAAATCTAACACTAACTTAATTGTTAAATATCGAGCATTGACTTGAGCCAAGTTGAAGATCAACAAATTACATTATAGCTCTTGATGAATTGTCATAGTAAATAAAACAATAAACAAAAAAAAATGTTTCAAGATTTTTGCAAATCAAATAAATAGAAAATATCA